ATTATTATTATTATTATTATTATTATTATTATTATTTTCCTATATCCCATCTTTCTCCCAATATAGGAACTCAAGGTGGTGAACAGCAGTTTTAAAGCAGTACAATTTAAAAACAGGACAACATTAAAATGTATAAATAAATCCATTATTACAATTAACAATTACAATTCTTACAATGACATTATGACATTATTACAATTAACAATGAAGCCATTTAAAAAGTTACAACAGTGATGAATAAAAATAGAATATGTTAGCAATACAAACCTTAATATTTAAATAGCACAGTATTCCCTTCCCTTATCAATTATTATTATTATTATTATTATTATTGCATGGAGCCATGGCAATTCCAAGTGGTGTCAAAGTGGATTATTTCTGCAGTGCAGATGCTCTGCAAAAATAAGTGGTCTCTTTCTTTTTTTCCAAGGAGCTGAGATCTGTCTCATTATTTCCTATATGAGAAAGCCAAGCCAGGAATATTATAGATGGAGAGTTTAATTTAATTTGGTTTGGTTTTTTTTTTAAATGCATCTCTGGTTATTATTAAATCTGGGAGGTTGAAAGGAAAGATAGCAAAAGGGGGGGAGAGGAAGGGAAAGAGAAAGGTTTGGTTTCTCCAGAGAGGGAAGGACCCAATTTTTCTCCCTCCCTCCAAGCCACCAAGTTTGCAAAAAAGTGCCTGCATGAGATTCTGGAAGGAAAAGTGAGTAGCAAATTTTGCAAAGGGGACCAGCAGCAGGAACAAAAAAAGATTGGGAGCTTATTTGTTTTGCAGGATTGCATTAATTCAATTTGCAGGATTGCATTAATTCAATTTGCAGGATTGCATCAATGAAGTTTGCAGGATTGCATTAATGCAATTTGCAGGATTGCATCAATGCAGTTTGCAGGATTACATCAATGCAAAATGCAAACCCATCAGTTAATGGGAGGGAGAGTGGATGTATTGGAACCATGTGTCTTTTTTCTTTTATTGTTGCAAATCCAAGGAAGGAAAGGAAAAAGAAGAAAAGAGAAAGTTATTTTTTTTTGCTTGTTTGTTTTTCGTGCAGCGTTACTTTTTTGCAATTAAAAAAACAATAGGAAAAAAAGGTCAGTTTGGAGGAGTCAAGAGAAGGAGAGGTTTGCAAAGGCTTGCAAAAACAAATAAATATTTTGCAATCAGTAAGAATGCAAAGGGATCCGAGAGAAGTTCCAAAATGTATCCAAAGGAGTTGCTGAAACAATGAGACAGCAGAAGGAGGAGAAAGGGATTTTATTGTTATTTTGGGGTATTGTTACACTTGCATCCTTTTGCTTGGAGACACGGAGGAACAAATGTTAAAAGTTTAATTTAAATAGTTGGACACACACACACACCCAAAAAAGAACAGAGAGAGCAAACACACTCAAGGTGTAAAGTTCCTTTTTTTAAAATGTCTAATAAAAAAGACCAGGTCTCCATCTAGTGGCCATAAAATGATAAAGCCCTAAAGCAAGCAGAAAGTTTTATTTCTGTATTTTGCATTTAAAATGGCTTGATGAATTTATTTCGCATTTTGTATTTTGTATTTGGCTTGAGGATTTATCCAGATCAATGGGAGAATTTTTGAGCTCCAAAAGCGCATCATTTATTGCATAGATGAAAGCATGGAAATCTGTGGGCTAAGCAAGAGGATGCATCTACACTGCAGAATTAATGCAGTTTCATACTGCTTTAACTGTCATGGGTCGCTGCTGTGGTATTCTGGGATTTATAGTTTTGTGAGACATCTAGCTCTGGTGCCGCAACAAACTACAAATGCAAGGATTCATAGGATGCAAACGGTGGCAGTTAAACTGGGATCACAGGCTGCATCTACACTGCAGAATGAATACACTGTGACACAGCTTTAACCGCCATGGCTCAATGCTATGGAATCCTGGGATCTGTAGTTTTGGGAGCTGGTGCCACAATAAACTACAGCTTTCAGGATTCAGTAAGATGGAACCATAGCAATGAAAGCAGTGCCAAACTGCATTAACTCTTTCAGTGTGGCAAATATTATAATATTATAATATTTTATATATATTATAATAAAACAAATATTATTAAGGAAGAGCATACAAAATTACTATTTTAAGCAAATAAAGCCTGGAATTTATATATTGAGTTTAGAAAAGCCTGGAAAAAAAGGAGTTTGTCACCGCCTCTCCTTCTTCCCAAGTTAACTGAGTGGAAGCTACTTTTTCACTTTCAACTCAGTTTGCAGCAATGGAAGTAAGCTGAGGATGAAAGAGGAAAGTGGGAGGACAAAAAGAAGAAGAAAGAAACCAGGATGTTTTAAAAGCAGTGGAGAAAATGGGACGGAAGAGGAGTAATCTGGGCTGTCATTGCTAAATTGGAACAGCTGGAGGATATAAATGCAATGTATAATCGCATGCATTAAAAAGTAAAATAAGATTGTTCAAGAAACTGATACAAAAACCCCAACCCATTTTTAAAAACCAAATACTGAAGATACAGGTTGAATCTCCCTTATCTGAAATGCTTGGGACCAGAGGTATTGGATTTTAGATTTTGGAATATCTGTGTTTGCATATTCATAGATCCAGCATGGTGTAGTGGTCTGAGCATGGGACTAGGACTTTGGAGACCAGGGTTTGACCCTAAGGCAAACCGATCATGGGATTTTCTTGGCAAGATTTGTCCAGAGGAGGTTTGCCATTGTCTTCCCCTGAGGCTGAGTGTGACTTGCCCAAGGTCACCCAATGGGTTTCATGGTCGAACTGGGAATCGAACCCTGGTCTTCAGAGTCCAAGTCCAACACTCAAACCACTACGCCACGTTGCCGTTGACTATATCATGGAGTTTTCTTGGCAGGATTTGTCCAGAGGAGTTTTGCCATTACCATCCTCTTAAGCTGAGAGAGTGTGACTTGTCCAAGGTCACCCAGTGGGTATCATGGCCAAGCTGGGAATCGAGCCCTGTTCTCTAAAGTCAAAGTCCAACATTCAAACCACGATGCCATGCTGCTGTTGACCGTATCATGGAGTTTTCTTGGCAAGATTTATCCAGAGGGTGTTTGCCATTGCCTTTCACTGAGGCTGAGAAAGTGTGACTTGCCAAAGGTCACCCAGTGAGTTTCATGGCCAAGCTGGGAATCGAGCCCTGTTTCTCCAAAGTCAAAGTCCAACCAATTTGCCACAATGACGTCCTTATAATGGGGTTTTCTTGGCAACATTGATTCAGAACTAATGCAGTTTGATGCTGCTTTAACAGTCGTGGCTCCATGATATAGGATCCTGGGATTTGTGGATTGTCACGGCACCAGAGCTCTCTCACAGAGAAGGATAAATATCTCATAAAACTACAGATCTCAGAATTTCATTGCATTAAGCCATGGCGATTAAAGCAGTATCAAACTGGAACAATTTTAGGTGGAGTTGGAATCAGGAACCGGAGTTCGTAGAAATATACCAACTGCATCTTCAAAATAAAAATTACATAAGTTGAGCCTCTTTTATACGAAATGTTTGGGACCAGGAGTGTTTTGGATTTTGGGGTGACCCCAGCTTTTGGAATATTTGCATCTATATAATGAGAAATATTGGAGATGGGACCCAAGTTTAAACATCAAATTAGTTTATGTTGCATATACACACCTTATGCACATGGCCTGAAGGTACTTTTATGCACAACGTTTTTAATAAATTTGTGCATGAAACAAAATGTGTGTACATTAAACCATTAGAAAGCAAAGGTGTCAGTATCTTTTGAGCCATCCATTGGGACAGTTTTGGATTCTGGAGTATTTGGGTTTCAGAATTAGGGATGAAGGAAACACAACCTGTAGTTGTACGAATGTTGACTGACCAAAAATCACATTGATTCCATGGGTCAACTTTTAATTCAGGCTAATAATTCAGTGCCAATTTATATTGTTCCAAATTATTGTTAGGACCAACTAGAAGAGACCCATGGAACCAATGGTAACTTGGTCAGTCAACATTTAAATATGTTCCACTGTTTCCATGAGTCTAACAAGGATGAGCTTCATGTGGCTCTCCAGATGTTGAACTCCAAATCCCAACATTGCTTCTTATTGGATATACTGACCAGGGTTGATAGGAGTTGCAGTCCAGCAACATCTGTCTGATCCCCATCCCTCATTTGAGCCAAATCATTTAAAACATCATTAAACAAATATTAAAACATAGTTCGATTAGAATCGAAAACAAACAAGAGATGAATGCTGATGGTTTTTGTCTTTTTGTCAACATTTGTTTAATTCATGTGCAGCCCGGCTGGATCGACAAATAAGCATTTAAATAAACTGCAACTTGGCACAACCGTTATTTCAGTGTGGAAAACGTGTTTTTGCCTGGAAAATACGTTTCTGAGTAGAAAACGGTGTGTTTTGCTTAGGAAACCCATTTTCAGTGCAGAAAAACCATACATATTTCTGCAGAAAAGAAAGTCCGAGGAGACTTTCCAAAGAGTGAATAGTGTTGCGAGACGATGCAGAAGGCTCTGTACTTTTGCCGAGTGGACAAAATAGCAAAGAATTATTTGCTGATGCTAGGTCAATGTTTGTTCTCCTCTTAAGGTGGGAAAAGCCCTTTAACATGAGACTCCTTTTTCCAAAAATGTTTTTGGAGAGGTTTTGAATGTTCTTTCTGCAGGGTCAAAACTTACTCACTTGAAGGAATAAGGCAGCAATTGTTCTTGGAGAGGGCAAGTGTTTGCGAGGATCAATGACTCTTGTTAAAACAGAGCAGCTGACGTGTGTGTTTTCTAAATAAATAAATATAAAAACCTTCACATCTGGGTACAGTCATCTGGTTAATAAGTAGCTTTTATTGAGAGATTTTTTAAAAAAAACTGAGCCCAATTTGGAAGCTAGCTTTTTAAAATCCAGTATGCTAAGGGATCTTATTAGCATGAGCTTTTGCACACTAGAGCCTACATTAACTTGAACATTAATTAATTCATTAACATTAACTTTAAAGACACATCTCTTCCTCCAGGCCTACCCAGTCAATTTTAAATCATGATTTTTGAATTTGTATACTTTAAAGAATGGACTCATATGAGTGTACTTTAATAGTTTTTATAGTATTTGTATTTTAACCTGTTGGTCTTGTGCGTTTTCTGTTTTAATTGTGTTTAGCATCTTGGAGATAAAACCCAAGTGTAATCATGACATTCATTTATGTTTCATATGCAACTAATACCCAAAGCCAGAAGTTAATTTTATAAACCATGTTTTTAATAATTTTGTGCATGAAAAAAACTTTGCATACCTTGAACCAACAGAAAGCAGAGGTGTCACCATCACAGCCAGCAATGTAGGCAATTTTGGAATATTTTGCATTTCAGGATTCTAGATAAAGGAGACTCAACCTGTAATATATGTCAGCAGTTCAGAGAAGGTAGAGCCAAAGTGGCATTGTGGTTTGAGTGTTGGACTCTGAATCTGGAGAACAGGGTTCGATTCCCAGCTCGGACGTGAAACCCACTGGGTGACCTTGGATAAGTCACACTCTCTCAGCCTCAGGGGCAGGCAATGGCAACCCTCCTCTGAACAACTTTTGCCAAGAAAACCCCATAATGGGGTCTCCTTTGGGTTGCCATAAGTCAGAAACAACTTGAAGGCACACAACAACA